ACTAGTCAACAATAATTTCACTATAGGTAAAAGAAATAATTTCAGAATAAACTTTTCAAATGGCTTTACCTATGGCAATTATTTAATAAGCTTGAATGTGTGGTAAGCTAGCTTTTCCAGGAAGTGAATGTAATCCAACTATGTTCCAAGTGTATTAAACTAGTTTATACGACAAATATGAGAATCACCTGTGTGCATCAACTGTGCTCAAATGAGAGTTCTCTATCAAAATACTCATTTTTCAAAAAGGCCTCACATTAACCCCTCAAACCAATCACCCCCTTTCCACTCTCTTCTACTTCAAGTTGCATGACTGTATAGACTACTGTCAAATTCCTATGGAACTGTACACTGACTTAAGACTCTATGTAATATATATCAAGCACAAGAATAGTCACTGACTTTAAGGAATAAGGTGATAACTAACCAATAATAATTTAGCCAATGTCGTTTTTAGTTTAGAGGGAAAAAAGCAGCCCCGAGTGTCCTTAACTTTTCAGTACTTCTCTGTGACACACAGAATGAAAAGACAGTCTCTCAAATTAAAATCATTAGAAAGTTCAAAAATCTTAAATAAAATGTTTTATATAGGTAAGTGTTAAATATGAGATTCAAACTGTATTTTCTTCAGTATTTCAATTTGGGGAAAATGTCACATTACTAGCTCTTTTCAGTTACATTTATTTGTGAACATTTAAATCTATTACACACCAGTTTGTAAGATTCACCTTGGTTACCATTCCCCATGCTTATGTTCTGTCTTTCCTCAGAAGTCCAGTATATGCATGTATGGGCTGGGGAGGTTTAAAAAGCACTTAAAGAATTTCATGAGAGCTCTGAAATGTTGAAAGTTTCATCATTATCTATTTACTGTAGGATTTGTAATTCAAACTCATCACAGTATCCTAAAGAAATACCGTGTGAATGGAATGCACACAATTCCTACGGAACACACAAACTGAAGTCCAAAAGGCACAGAGTAATGCTGGTGGCTCTTTCTAGTCAGTTAAGAAACAATAAAAAGTCTGCATTATTCTTTCATAATTTAAATACTTAAGTAATCTCCACTTTTATTACTTTATAACAATTACTTCAAATTTACATTATTTTAAGTACCATTGTAATAGTTTAGTGTATAATACAGATATTTGCTAACGGCCCATCCAAAAAATTTTAAAAAAAAAGAAAAACCTTTTCACTATATATATATGTGTGTATATATATATATATATATATAAAATTATTCTGAAATACAAGAACATAGAAGAGGGATTTGGTGGCCCATCCAAAAAATTTTAAAAAAAAAGAAAAACCTTTTCACTATATATATATGTGTATATATATATATATATATATATATATATATATAAAATTATTCTGAAATACAAGAACATAGAAGAGGGATTTGGTACAGACTATCAACTCAATTTTCTATCACCACAGCTGTAACTCCAAAATCAACAGACATACAGCAATAATCAAAAGCAGTGCAAGTATCTTTGGAAGATAAAATTATAATGCAAGAACATTAAACTGAGGAAGTAAAAAAGGCAAGTACTTCAAGTACAAGGAACAAGTCTGCTTGAGGTCCATCTCAGTGTTTACTGGGGGCTTCTTTCCTGCTTCTACTTCTTTCTCTGAAACACATTGGCCAACATGGCACCTGATGTAGTCAACTGGCCCATTTTGTTCAAAAACTTGGTCTTTGTATCTTCACTCACTAAGCTTGCAGCAATTGACATTGAGCTAGGAAAGAAATTTTAAAATTCACGTAAAGCAATTAAATAACAAAAATATCCATTTTTTCATTTCTTTAGTAACACATCATTAATAAATACATTCTGAATTGGAGTCACAAAAGAGAAACTAGACTTATGGAAGGGAGTTTTTATGAACTGTTCAGGGTTAGGAGCTTTCATGTTCATCATTTATATTAAAGGAAGCAGTAATATGTAGTGGTTAGGAGCAAGTCTGGGATTGGACTGAATCTTGGTTCTGCTTACTGGCCGTGTGACCTTGGGTACTTATTTAATCTCCTCATCTGTAAAATGGAGATAATTCTAGTACCTACCTTATAGGGCTATTAGGATTATACAAGTATAAAGTGCTTAGCAGAGTGCTAGGCACCTAACGGCATGCCATAAGTGCTAATAGATATTATCAGCATCACTTCACGTTCAGTTCTTATAGCAATCCTGCAAGCAGATATTACCTCCATTTTCACAAATGAGTAAATTAAATCACGGTGAGGTTTTGTACTGTGCTGATAATAACCCTATGATATATTTCTTTTTTGGGGGGAACATATTCTGAATTGCCAGTTGCATTAATTTCAATCAACACTTTCAAATCCACTTCTTCTAATGTTTTTTTTCACTAACCTGCTGTATAGGGAGTAAACACAATCCAAATATCTACTAAAGATTACTAATTTATTACACCACTGAACAAAATAGGATACTGAACAAAACAGAATACGGATCAAGCACAATTCTTCAGTGACACGGCAACTGTCCTGCAATGGACTCAGGAACTCAGTTTATTGCCTTGTGGCTTTGGCCAAGATGCTTTAGATCTCTCTAATTCAGTATCCTCATCTGTTAAACACAGCTTGCAATTTTTACTGTAAAATATCCTGTGGATTAAATAAGATAATGTGTTTGAGGACACTTCAAGGACAATGTTTGGCAAGCTGCAGATGCTCAACAGATGTTTGCTCAACTATGGCATGAAGTCCTTGGGGCTGCCACTGAAACCATCTGGGTCTGTGTAGTCTTTGAGGGTGTACACTGTAAATTACTCAGTTAAAAACCCAACCGTGACTTCCATCTTGAAACTTTCTTCTTCCCATTGCTCTTCTGCCAGTATACCAATGGTTTCTCTCTTCATGTCTTTGACTATTCCTCTCCTGCTCCTTTTTCTCTTCCCACAAAGTAATCCTCCATAAGATTCAGTATTTGGTTCTTGATTCTTCAACAACAAAACTTACTCTCAAAGTTTCAAATACCTCCTACATAAGGATGACTTCAAAATATTTACTGAATCACTTCCCTTTTCCTGAAGGTCAGTCCCATATTACTACTGTTTACTAGATAAAGCCAAAATCTCAAGCTTTTATTCACTCTAACTGTAGAAATAACTCCCCACTCACCAGTGGTTCTGCTATTTTTCTTTCTTCCTAACAGTGAATATAATGGCTCCCTTTCCTTCTATTTCAAACCAATAACCAAGTCCTGTGACCTTATTCTAAGAAACGTCTCCTCTACTGTTTCCTTTTACTCCATTGCCAATATGAATACTTTACAACTGAATTATTCCAACAGTCTTGGATATGGTCTCCTTGCATTATCAGATTAACTTCTGAAATAGTCACTTCTTTATATTACACCCCAGCTCAAAAATCTTCAATGCTCACTTACTGCTACAAGATAAAATATGCTTTGCATTCAAGAAATACAGCAATCTAATTCTTTTCTACCAACCACCACGGCCTACTCTCAGACCTGCTTCAGTCAGGTGTGCCTAGTCTATTGCTCAATCATTCTCAACTTACATATCTTTGTCTCTCTCTATATATCCATTGCCTACTCATTTTCCAAAGCCCAGTTCCTGTCCTGTCTTTTCTATGGGGCCTTTCCTCAACACTAGTTTTACAGTGCTGTTCTCTTTCTGCAGAAGACTCAGTCTAAGTCAAAAGATAAGTATGATTTTAATTTATATCTAGAAAAAGGGGATGTATGGTTCAGGCCATTCTTGAGATAATACATAATACTATCAGGTTTTAATGATATTCTAAGAGGGGAAAAACAACGATGATAAGTCTGGAAACCATAACAGGTAAAACTGAAAGGAAAGTAAAATGCTTGGTCTGGAGAAGAGAATATTTAGATGACTGAACAGATGCCTCACTATGTTATGTGTGAAAAGTTAGATAGGTAATGTGTAACTGCAGAGCTGTATTTATCTGTATAGGTCTATTGATACACATAACTGTCACCTGGGGAATTATGAAAATGCAGGTGTGCAAGCCTAATCCTAGTGCTTCTGATTCTTTCCACCTGGGGTAGAGGGCCCAAGTACCTATTTTACAAGGCTTCCCAGTAAAGAATCATTGCATTTCTTTCCGAAGAGAGAATTTAAATTTTTATAAGTTTTATAAAGGGCTTGGTAACACTCCTCTACCTCTCTGCAAAACGACAAAAACCTGTTTTAGAGAGTAGATATTTTACGAGGGGAGACTTTAACTCAGGATAAAAGAGAAATTAAAAAAATAAAATTTTTGTTAAAAATTAAATGGGCTATAGGGCCGGCCCGTGGCTCACTCGGGAGAGTGCGGTGCTGAGAACACCAAGGCCCCGGGTTTGGATCCTATATAGGGATGACCGGTTCACTCACTGGCTGAGCGTGGTGCTGACAACACCAAGCCAAGGGTTAAGATCCCCTTACCGGTCATCTTTAAAAAAAAAAAAAATTAAATGGGCTGCCATGTAAGGCAATGTGTCTTCTCACTGCAAGTTTTCCAGGAAATCTCAGATTTTTCTTGTGTAACTCACATCCAACCAGTTGTCATTTCATGTTCATTGGGAATCTGTAGTACATCTTACATCTGGCTTATCTTCTTTAAAACTATTTATGTATTTATCTGTCTCCCCACACTATCCCATCTTGCAAATTAAAGATCACTCCTCTTTGAAAGGCACACATGACTTCGGACACCTTCTGATTTGCCTGTTATATCAGTTAAGCTCCTCTTTCATCTGCATCTTAAATGTTGGTCTCTCATTCCATGCCTGACCTTGTTCTCCTCCCTGTCAGAGCCCCCTTTCCAAGTTATATCATCTACCCACCCTTCCTCATATCAGTTAAGCTCCTCTTTCATCTGCATCTTAAATGTTGGTCTCTCATTCCATGCCTAACCTTGTTCTCCTCCCTGTCAGAGCCCCCTTTCCAAGTTATATCATCTACCCACCCTTCCTCCAACCCTATTCTTTAATTACCACACATATGCTAATGGTTTTTAAATCTTAATAAACTGCCTATAGAGTTCCTCTACCTGTACTTTAAATTTTAAATATTCCCTTTCAGAAGAGTTCTTCCTATAGTTCCATTTTGTTGTACTGTGCCACTGTCCATTTAAATGAGATTGTTTTCCCTCATTCCTAAACTGTTGCCAAGTTAAACTGAGTTCATATCTGAAATATATCCCTAATCCGTCTTCTCTTCATACTCACTGCCATTCACAGGCATTATAACACGATGGCTAAGATCACAGTCTCAAGAACTACAATATCTGGGTTCAAATTATGGTTCCTCTACTTAATAGATAGGTGGCCTTTGAGCAAGTTACCTCCTCTGTGTTATCTGTAAAATGAAAACAATAATAGTGTCTACTTCTTAGTGTTATCATGACAAAGATTAGCGAATATATTAAAAATGCTTAGAAAGGTACCTTGTTCATAAGTATTACTTATTATCTTCTCATCATCCATGCCCATGCCTGATTTCATCATTGGTTCTCATAACAGCTTCCCAATCTGTTCCTGCTTCTCTGTATTCACTAGAGTCCGGTGCTAAAAGCAGTGTTTCTCAAAGTGTGGCTCCTAGACCTGTAGCATCAGCATCATCTCGGAATTTGTTATCAATAAAATTCTCGGATTCCATTTCCTGATCTTCTGAATCCAAAACTCTGGGGATGGCACCTAGCAATTTCCAGGTGATTCTGATAGACCATAAAGCTTGAGAAACAAGGTTCCTAAGGGTCAGCAAACCACAGGTGGCAAGCCAAATCTAGCCTGCTGCCTGTTTTTGCAAATAAAGTTTTACCGGGAACAAAGTCATGCCCATTCATTTGCCTATTGTCAATGGCTGCCTTCCTGCTATAGTAGCAGAGTCCAGCTGAGTAGCTGTGACAGAGACTGTATGGTCTGCCAAGCTTAAAATAATATTTTTTGCCTTTACAGAAAACGTTTGCCAACTCCTTGCCTATAAGATAAAGTTCAAACCTCTCAGTGTGGCATCCAAAGTTCTTTGTTATCTGGTTTCTGCCTACCTTTAGAGACTGATCTCTATCATTCTCCCACACATACCCTGTGCTCTAGCTTTACAAAGTACGCCCAAACATACTCTTCTGTAACTTTTGTCATTGTGCACAATGTGGGTTTTTCTTCATATAATCTCTTTCTCCTCTTTTCCTTTTACCTCTCTGGCCAGTTGTTCATACTTGAAGACTGTTGTAATCCTTTTTCCTTGGAAACATTTGTAGACATTGTTTTACTGTTTGTCTATACTTTTAACTGCTTCATTTTTCCACTTTCACCTGTGAATACCCCAGTGGAAGGGACTATGCCTTGTTCAACCTCATCTCTGGGAACAGCCCATGGTAAGTGTTCAGTGAACTCTAGTAACTGCTGAATATAAGAAGGGTATCAAAATACTTGCACATATATTTTCTGCCTGTAGATTAGTGCTTTTCAAACTTTTCTAACAAAGATCTTCACTTAAGAGATACATTTTACATAATGACCCATTGCACATACTTCCACGGGTAACTGAAGTTTCATAAACACTTACTACTTACCTTACTTGAGATATATTCTATTTTTTATTTGATTCTATTTCTTGGGAGAAAATGCTTACCACAACCAACTGAATTAATTTAATGATGTACTAACACGTCATGATCTATAGTTTGAAAAACACTCCTCTAAACCATAGGCTCTTTAAGGATGAAATCCATGTATGCTTCATTCCCTACAGCAATAAGGAGGGTACTTTACAGATATAAATATCTTTATCTGCACCACTCTCACTTTTCCTTCCATCTTAGAAGCAATTCCTTTTACTGTTCAAGGCTTTCCTCTTGTGCTTTTGATCTATAAGACTTCAGAGGAGGGATAGGTAAAAGAAGACTTCCCTGAAGAGGTGATATCTAAGCTTTGTCCTGAAGGATGGACAGATACTAGCTAGGCAGAGTATAAGAATATTCCTGGCAGAAGGAATCCTATGTGTAAAGATCTAGGGAGAGCAGAAGCATAGCATGGCATGATGGAGGCACCCAAAATCCTCCACTAAGTCTCTCCTCGTCATCCTTGGTAGCTCAGACCATTCTTATTTATATAACCGGTATAATTTCGACATGGATTTATTACATTATCTATAACGTGATGTAATGCTGTTTTCATATATTGTCTAGACTTACTCCAATGTAAGTTTTTTTTTTTTGTGACTGGTAAGGGGATCGGAACCCTTGGATTGGTGTCGCCCGCACCGCACTCAGCCAGTGAGTGCACCGGCCATTCCTATATAGGATCCGAACCCGCGGCCTCAGCGCTACCGCACCTTGGCGCTAGCAGCACCGCTGCGCTCCCAGCGCCGCTGCGCTCCCAGCGCCGCACTCTCCCGAGTGAGCCATGGGGTCGGCCCCCAATGTAAGTTTTTGAAGGACAAAGCCATCTCAGTCTCAAGCACAGTGCCCAAAATGAAGAAATTCTTGCAGGTGAGAAATTGTATCAGATTACCTCTGATTCCTGTAGTGCATACTGCCTGTATCATTTATTTGGTACTTATAAGTCTTTATTCACATAAATGCCTTGACTTCCTACAGAACTGTGAGCATCCTGATGAAAGGACTTATGCCCATACTCTTGTTTCCCTCCTGTATCTGAGAGCAGAGCAGTTACTTGTATATTTACTGACTGATAACATGGTTAATATTTTCACATATATGCTTTTGTTACAGAAATGAGTAAGTTAAAGATTAACAGATAAAATACTTATTTCAGGTATTTTTCCTACTTTATTTGGTGATTACAGAATACTCCTTTACTAAATAAATATAAAATATCTCCAAAAAATACTTTTAGAATATAACTGAAAATAAAAAGAATAAAAAAGATACATGTCATTAAGGCTTGCAAATATTAATGATTTTTTTAAATCACTAGGAACAATTCATACACAAAGTTATAACTGTCTCTCTCTCTTGCCCTTACTCTATAAAAGAAGGAACTTATTAGAAGTATGTTTATGAAATTGCGATACCAGATTACAAGGAAGCGTCATATCTAAAGGACTGAAGAGTCAACCTGAAAAAAGGCTTGAATTGGCTAAACGCATCAATAAAGATAATAAACACAATGCACTGGATTACATCAAATATGTTTAAATACGTGAGTTCATAATGGTATTTTTTTAAAAACCCACCAAACTAGTTGCTGTCAGAGTGAATCAACACATTATTTTGAAAACTGGTAAATAAAGAGAAATAACTAAACATTTACCTTGCCTTTACTATATAAACTATATCACTGGGTAACAGTAGTATACATGGGGTAAGTTTTTCTTTTCTGAAGAATTCTAAGTCATTAATGGCATAGGAATAATAGAATTAGAGTATAATGTTTTGTAACATCTAATGAAGTAATGGAGGTAGGCACTAATCATTGACAGCTTGTTAACATTGCCAAAAAAAGGAGAGAAAGAAGCAGACATTATTTGCCTTATGATGAAAATACAACCTCTTTTTATAAAGCAGTCTTGCTAAAGGAGACAAAGAAACATGCCCCGAATCTGATTAAGTGTCTAGATCTAGACCCAACTACTAAATTTACAGGAAATTCAGAAGAATATGTTAAGCAAAACAAGGGAAATGCAATCAGCAAAATTCAGACTGTGGGAAACTCTACAGGACAAATGAACCAGTTTCTCTAACAAGTAAACTGTACATAGAAAAAAGAGATAGGAGGGTGCCTCGTACCTATGAATTAAAAGAGACTTATATTAATCAACTGCAATGAATGGACCTCACTCGGATCCTAACTCAGAAATAAAATGTAAGAAAAAAATAAATGCAAATCACTGCTGACATAAAGCAATTAGAAATTTAAACAAAGGCCAGATAGTTGATATTAAGGAGTTATTGATATTTTTGTGGGTAATGATATTGTGTTTATGTTTTTAAAAACGACATATTTTTCAGAGATACCTATCAGAGCACAGGAAAAGGAAGTAGGTAGGGTATGGATGAAATAAAATTGACTAAGTTGATAACTGATGAAGCTGAGTGATGAATACATGAGAATTCTTTACATTTTCTGTTTACTTATGTGTTTATTTCAAATTCTCTATAAAAGACCAGTAATAAAATAGAAGATTTGAATAACATGGAAAAAACATGATTACCCCCCAATTTTTTTTTTTTTTAAATCTTTAAAAGGAAGACCATATGAAAGAAGCAATCATTGAAAGTTGTGAAGATATTTTTCTATCTTTTAATTCCTGCATGTGAATCCATGAAATTTCATTTAGGATGTATTTCACATGTAATTTTTCTCAATTTTGTTACTTTAAAATAATACTCTGAAGGCACCAAATAATCTCGATATTTAACGTATGACAAATAATGGAAGTATTTGCTTTGGTGTTAATTTCAGGGATTTTGTGTTCAGATTAGAAACCTTTTATTGTTTCATTGTGCTTTTGTTGTTTTAACCCTCCATGGCTAAAATGGTAGGTATGTGTAGAGAAGAGCTCCTTCTATCCTAGGAAGCTAAAGAAAAGGTCTGACACAACAAAGAGGCAAAAAACTGTGTGTGTGATGGGCATGGGGAGCAGGGAGGAATATGTATCTGTGTGCGTGCGTGCGTGAGTGTATGTATGTCTCTAGACTGATAGGATGAAACACTTATTCCTGGTAGTCAGCCTTAAAGGAAACACATTTGTGTTTTTTATATGTAACAGTGTCCAAGAGTCCATTTAAGATAAATTGCTCAAGGTTACTTCAGTAAGAGTTAGTCTATTTGTAAATTACTCCCTCTCCTGAATGCCCAACTTTACACTTTCATATCTATGTTTATAATTTAATTTCACAAAATTTTTGAATTCTAATTTGTTTGGTAAGAAGCATGTGACTAGAACATTCTCAAGTTTAAAATCTTTTATGCAGTGAATTGTCACATCTTACAACTCCTGTCACAAATTTCTAGATATTGTTTTGACCAGTGAGTCTCCAATCTGGCTACATACATATCAGAATCTCTTTGGAAGTTTTTAAATATGTCAATCCCTATGATGAATCAGAATATTGACAGGAGGGCACAGAACATGGGGTAAGGATCTGAATTTTAAATTCCCCAGGCAATTCTAATGAGATGGTTTATGGACCAGCATTGGAAAAGTGCTGACTAGATTTTCTTGCCTTCCAAATAAATGACTATAAAATAACACAAAATGAAACACTATACTCATCTATAGCAAATTTAGATAGATAAATGCCTTAAAAAAAGAATTAATGTCTTACCCTTGAGGCTCTTGGACGGTCTTGTTTTCTACTTTTTGTTCGCATTCTTTTATCATGGAACTTAAAATAACCTGGTTAAAAAAAATTACTTTAGTGAAATATAGTTAAAATACAGAAATATACTATGGTTTAATCTAAAGTTTTAATTTTAATATTCCCTAATATGTTAATAAAAAACAAAGTTTTGGCAGTTATTTTGTTAAAGAAATTCATATTAGATTGCTAGACCATGTACAAAAATAGCTTTAAAAGATCTCCATTTAAATTAAAAATTTATTTTGATTTTCACTAGCCTTCTTCTAAATCTGATTCCTATTCCCTCACCATCTAATTTAAAAGTAAAATTTATATATATATAAATTTAATATACACACACACACACACTATGGTCACACACATATTTCTCTAGTAAAAGCCATTCTGTCTTCTGTCCCTTTGCTTTCTCTAGGTTGTGAAAAGCAAGATGCTCTATTTTCACATCTAGAACCCAGACTAGGTACAGCTCCATGGCTTCTAAAATATAACTGGGGATATGATGGGTGTCTAAGAGTTAACATCATTCTTGCAAGGTAGCTGCGTGAGTGACGGAAAGGGTGGACAGTCTAAGCTCCTACTCTGATTGCTGGCAATCACACCAGAAACTGAATGACCTCCTGAATATTCTTGGCCCAAGTCTGGGCATCAAGGTCACTAAACAAATATTTATTGTCTACCTATTATATGCCAGGTACTTTTTTAGACACTGAGGATAGAGCAAATAAAACAGACAATATTCCCTCCTTGTGGAGCTTATGTTCTAGTAAGGTGGACAGACAATAAACAAACAAAATGTACGAAAATTTTATAGTATACTAGAAGGTGATAAGGGCTTTGGAAAAAACAATAAGGGGTACTTGGAAGGCCAGGGTGGAGAATGTTTACAGTTTACATGGAGGTGTTCAGACTAGTTGCTGTGGACTGAATGTCCTCCCAAAACTCATTAAATTTGACCCACATTGTACCAGTGCTAAGAGGGTGGGAAATCTGATTATGGTATTTGAAAGGTGGGGCCTTTAAGAGGAGATTGGATTGTGAGGACTGTGCTCTTGTGAGTGGATTGATCTACTTGTGGCATACGGGGCATGGTTCTAATGGCTTTATAAGGAGGGCAAGTGAGAAGGTTAGCTCTCTCTTGCTCATGCCATTCCTCGCCATTTGATACCCTGGGTTGCTGTAGAGTCATCACCCAGAAGAAGGCCCTCATCAGATATGTTTCCTGAACCTTGGGCTTCCCAGTCTCCGAAACTGTAAGAAATAGATTTTTTTTTCTTAATAAATTAGCCAATTCCAGGTATTCTGTTATAAGCAACAGAAAATGGACTGATACAGTAGCCTTCATGGAGAAGATGACATTTAGGCAAAAACTTAAAGGAGA